TACCAAACCGTGGCGAACCCCAAGGATCATGTTGGGGTAAATGCGCTTCAAGTGATAAGTGTGAAGGTGGCTGCGGAAGTCGCCACAACTGAAGTGATGGAGAAGGAAGATACAACAAGGAATAGTCCAACCCAAAGAAGGGAGAGGGGAAGCCCTCGAGAAATAAGAAGAAGGCGGAAAGGAAGGCTTTGCTGGTGGATGGATACGCACCACCTCTTCCTTATCCCACAACGATGTACAAGGAGAGGTTGGAGAACGAGTGTGGAGGTTTCATGGAAATGCTCCGCAACATCCACCTCAACGTCCCCTTCCTTGAAACCATGGCTCAAATGCCAAGATATGCCAAGTACCTCAAAGGATCCTCACCAAGAAGCCAAGGCTTGAAGGCCTCGCCAACGTGACTCTTGGCGAGGAGTGTTCAGCTTACCTCCTCGACCGCTTGCCCAAAAAGCGGTCCGACCCAGGTAGCTTGAATATCCCTCTTGATATTGGCAACCATCATATAGACAATGCCTTGGCAGACCTAGGAGCTAGTGTTAATGTGATGCCCTACAAGCTTTTCAAAAAGTTAGAAGTAGGTGAACTTAAGACCTCTAAGCTTAGCATCACCTTAGCCGACCGTTCGGTCATTAGATCGAGCAGTATAGTGGAGGACATGATGGTGAGAGTGGGCAAGTTTTGCTATCCGACCGATTTCGTGATTCTCGACATAAGTGAGGACTCGGATATGCCCCTCACCCTCGGTCGTCCCTTTCTTGCAACCGCCAAGTCATTGATAGACGTTAATGAGGGGACCTTAATTTTGAGGGATGGAAAGGAGAGCATCAAGCTTGAAATTGATCCTAGGATTAGGAGTACTGAAGTGAAGGGAGTAGTTTCGAATGATGTGAACGAGAGTGGAGGAGAGCCTCTCAAGGCAAACCCCTCGTTACTTGTGTTGTTTTTGGTGATGTTGAGCAGGAAGTTAAGAAGGGTCCTAAGCCCAAAAGATCTAGGATGAATGCTTAGAGGAGAAGGATGAAGGGAGTTTTTACCCAGAAGATGGGGGAGGCCGAAGCAATGTTGGCCAACCAAGAGGGCCAACTCAATGAACCTAAGATGGGAGGCTACAAGCCTTGCCCCGAGAGTGTGGTGGATCCGCTCTCGGTGGCATCACGTTTGAAGTCGTGATCGATCCCCAACTGTCAAGCTAATGACGATAAATTAGCGCTTGTTGGGAGGCAACCCAACGGAGGTTTGTTTTCTTTTCCTTAATTTTAGTTTTAGTGTCTTGTGAAGAGATTGAGTGGTGAAGTGGTATCCCCGTGCTAAGTATTGTGGTTTTGCGGTTTATGCTTGTGTTGGGATCGATTAGGAGGCACGAAGGAATAGGTTGAGTCAAAATTTTAGCAGAAGTGCCATATTTTCACTAATTCTCACAGACGGATTGCTGATTTCACGGTCTTATAAGACCGTGAACAAGCAAGCGCGTCTGTGAACTGGGTACTTATGCAAGTTCACCCCTTGTCAACCACTCCGTGTTCACGGACGCGTTTGCGAGTTCACGGTTGCTAAGACCGTGAACTGGGCAACACGTCCATGAACTCCGAGTCGTGCCTATAAAAGGGGCGTCAACGGCAACTCTTCACTTCAAGACCAAAATCTCGCCGAAAAGTGCAAAAATCTGTCGGTTTTTCGATTTTCCCCCATTCCGCCAAGCAAAACCCAAAACCAACGTCATACCCAGTCTCCTCTCCTCAAAACCGGCCTGTGGTGAGATTTTGGGGAGATTTGGAGCACATTTTTTCCGGCCAAGTCACCGGCGGCGAGTCTCTGACGAGCTTCCGACGAAGCTCCAGCGACCCCTCTCCGATCAGTTTTCCGACCGTTTTTCATCATCCTCGCCCGCACCTCACTTCATCCTACATCCTACTTGAGTCTCCAGGTTTGTTTTTCGACTTTACATTTGTGATTTGTGGAGAATCAGATTAGGTAGTGAAGTGAGGTTGAATTTTTGTGCTTTGCATGATTAAATCTAGATTTAGGGCGAGGAATTAGGTGAATTAGGTCGATTGGATTTTGGATTGATTTTGGCATGAGCTTAGTGAGCCTTGGTTGGCTTGTTGAATCAAATTGTGTTTATTTTTAGAATTTGCCCACCAAGTGCTATGTTATGAATGCAAGTGGAGTTTATTCTTGTTTGGTGGATGGTAGCCACCGTGGTAAGGGTTGTGGTTCAACTTTTTGTGTGCTTGAACCATGAAATACCCACAACCATGCCACGGTGGTTTGAGCTTAAATGTTTGATAACCATGGTGGAAAACAAGTGTGGGGAGAATTTCTTTTCCTCCCAATGAGTATTATATGACGAATGTTTCCCCGTATGGTATGTGTTTGTGTTTGTGCAGGATGCTTAACTTTGAGCATGAGTTCATCAGTTATCTAGTGAACCACCCGGTCTTTGGCGACAAGTTGGCCTACCAGAGTGGCAGCCCCATTGGGCATCACTGGTGGCTGGACCTGGACATGTTCAAATTGTTCAGGTGCCGAGCCGCGATGACTGGAGTGCTCAGCCACCACCAGTGGCGCCAGCTCTTGACCATGGACGAGGAGATCTACCACGAGCTTTACATGGAGTTCTACTCCACCTTCTCCCTCATCGTCCCGACCAGCAAGAAGAGTCGGTCACGGGTGGAGTTTATGCTGGGAGGTAAGCCACGAGTGCTAACCTATGATGCCTTTGCACATGCCATGGGGCTCGACACCGCCCACATGACGATGACGGAGCGCAGTATACCATCGACTTCAACTATCAGGGCGCATTTCGAACCCTCAGCCGCCTATAGCACGAGCAGGACGAGTTTGAGGGGAGTCGTACCAATGCGGTGATGATGTAGACCCAGTGGAGGATTCTCCACACTCTGTTCACCAGATCTGTCGTACCCACCCTCCACTCAGGCCACTTGATGACGAACAGAGGGCTCATTGCCCTCTTCTCGATGAGGAGTCCAAGTGAGCCGATCCATCTAGAATCGTTGATTGCCACCTCTTTCGCCCGGTGCCTGGGGCGGAACAGAGTGGAAACATGCACATGGGGGCATCATCACGAGGATCGCCGGTCACTTCTAGGTAGATCTGGCCCGCTGCCCCAAAGTCGGAAGGATGGATCCATTCCCAGTGGAGACATTGTATAACCAGAAGCTGGTACTCCAGGGAGAGATATGAGTGGAGTACCTTGATGGATTCTGACCCTTCAGAGTCATCCGAGCTGCAGTAGCACCGGATCAAGTGGAGCCTGACCCCAAGGCCCCGCCAGCAGCCGAGCAGCCACCTGCTCATGCATCCGGATGCCGCCGCCGCCCAGCTCTCCAACGCCCTACACAGGAGCCGCCACCAGCACCAGGCAATCCCCTCGTCCAGTGGGTGGATCGCCTAAAGACGAACTTCATGGGATTCTCATCCCGCCTCGACCGGCAGACCAAGAGTGAGACATGTGAGACATGTGGCAGAGCGAGTCCTTCATGGGATTCTCATCCCGCCTCTTAGGTCCTTCCACCAGAGATAGGTAGCCGACGAGTGAGACATGTGGCCGAGCGGAGTCCTTTCGCCCCACTTCTCTACTTGTAACCCTGAACTTTTTTGTTTTTGTTTTTGTTATTTTTGTGTGGGTGTGACATAAACTACTACTATGTATTGTGCTTGCAATAACCTCACCTCGAGCCTGTTGTATTGTGTATGTGTGTTTTTTGTCTCTCCTTGAAGCTCAATTATCCTACCCCGGTTCGATTCCAACTTTCACTCACCAAGCCCAAGCGGTAACATCATTCTACCCCTGTCTTACGCCATTGAGGACAATGTCGAGTTTAAGTGTGGGGGGGAGGGGGGTAGTTTACGAGTACGCTTGTGTGAGTATGATTAATGCTTGGAGTCTTTTGTTTGCCCAAATTTCAAAAATTTGAGGGCTCCAAGCAATGTTTGCATGAGCAAAGTGGCCGGATGGTGGGAAATTCTCGTGTTTATTGGCATTGATCTTGAATTGTTGCATGTGATCGAGTATATCCTATGATGAAGATTGAGAAGTTCATTAGGATAGGGCAAAAGTTTAGTTCTCAAGTGTGCATAAATGAATGGATGTCTTGACTTGATCACTTGTTGCTTAAAATAGCCATTCATTGTGTTTGTGAATTGGAATAGATGGTTGGGTAACTATGTAGCCTGTGAGCTTTGAGCCAATCGTTTTCCTCCGGTGTGATAGTTCCCTCTTACCACGATGTGTAGCATCACAAGTTTTCACTAGTAAGTATGATGGAGGCATAGGATTAGTCCACGCCCAAATGTTGATTATCCCGAAATGTTTCATCCTTTAGTCAATGCTTTTGAGCCGTGTGACTTCGAGGGTCGTTCTCAATTTAGGGGCTTCGTGCGTGTGAGCTTAATGGTGTAATAGAACGACCTCAATCCTTTCTTTGTGTCTAAACATGAGTCGTCCTTGTATCCTGGAGCTCTTGCCTTTGAGTTTCCATAGAGGTTCTACATAGAAGGTTCTTGTGCGGTCCTTGCTAGGGATGAGAAAAATGAAGTATAGTGTTGGAGTGAGTTCCTCATAAAGAGAGCATTGGTCGTTAAATGTATAGGTGGCAAGTGTTTTTACTCTCTAGTACCCCTCAAAAAGAAAAAAGAAACAAAAAAGAGGTAATAAAATGGGGTAAATAAAGTAGAGATTGCATAGTCAATTGATTGGAAACCTCGAGTAAATGCTATTGGAGTGACTCTTTTGTTACTCAGTAAATTTGACTGTGTTTGAGAACGGATGAGTCACTGACCTAAGTCTGGCATCGGTGAAATATAATAGATTAGAGACACATGAGAGGAACGGATCAATTATTTGTAAGAGTCAATTAGCTGAAGCCTAATCAATCGAAAGCAACTGAAAGCGACCACAGAATAATGCTTCTCTTGGAGAACTGTTCGATTTGATTTTATATATATATATTAATTAATAATATGTAGTGAAGGAATTGTCACATGAGGGAACATGCATGAGGGTTATCGTCGCTGAAGAAGGTGCCGGCGGCGGAGTGGCGGCCATCAAAGTCGACGGTTGAATGGATGGCCGGGTGGCGGTAATATCCGTGGTGGTGGTTATCGTCGGAACCGTGCTTGTAGTAGTTGTAAGAGGATGACGGCTGGGGCGGCGCGTGATACGTCAACGGACCACTCACCTGGTGCTGGTCGTAGTAATGGCTGGACGTGGAACTGTAGCGGCCTTGGTTGTAAGGAAGTTGCCACAGCTCCGCCCTTCTTCCCGTCCGCCGGACCCTCTTCAGCACCTTTTTCTGGTCGGCCCATCCCGTCACCGTCACCTTCTGCATCACCGTATCTATCTCCACCTCGTCCACGCCTTCCAGCTTTTGGAGGGCATTTTTCACTTTCATTTCGCAACCTGCGCAGTCGATGTTTACTCTCATCTCTGTGATCTGTTTTGAAATATATAAGAGGGAAACGAAAAATAGTTATAACAGATTCCAAGAGGATCAGCGAACTAAATTTCATGTATGTATGTACAAATACTTACCGTCATTTTATGATGGCTCCCAAGTGCTGTGACCTGCGTGTATATCGAATAGGATGCAAATGATGCAATAATTACAAGGTTATCTACTTCGCTTATTTTATTTTTCTGACTACAAATGCAAGTGAAGTTGTGAACTCTTCCCTGCGTATATATAGAGCTGGGGAGAATTTTCTTGATGCTTCGCTTCAAGCTGAAAAGGAAGATAGAGTTGACCCTTCACACTGAAGGTTTGTGAACGTTGATGTTGCGTTAAATTTTTGAACCGACTTTCTGTATATTATATATATATATATATTAATTATCCACATGCTGTTCCTGTCTCTTAAACCCGAAGCAATCATTGGCTACTGGTTACCTCCACACGGTAATAGCACTATCGAGTTCACGTAATCAATAACCGATAACCGAATCAGTAAACGGTGGTTAACAGTTACACCAATAATCGATTCAACAATAAATGATTGGTTACTTGTAGTCGAATTTAGATAATTAGTAATCGATGGTTAGCCAATTAACCAATTACGATCATTCTCATAGTTAGGACGAAAACAATAGGCATCGATGAACCGTTGGCATAGAAAGAAAATAATGTGGAGTTTGAAGGACTGCAAGTTTCTTTGCTTATCCTAGTTATAATAATGGCTTGGATTCAAATGAGAATAAATGATTTCTGGGAAGAGCTCTAGAAATAGCATAGTAGAAAGATAGACTTAAGCACAATCGCTCAACAACAATCAACAACATTAACCTTCCATGTAATTTGGTGGAGGTTTATGAGTTGGTTAATTATTGTTGGGTGTGTTATTTTTGTTTGCTTCTATAATCAAACCTGATGGTAGAATGGTGTTATTGTGTACTTGTGTTGTATTAAGTTGATTAATATATATATATATGTTAAATTGTTTTTACTTCAATAATAAACATGTCAAAAAGAACCCATATTGAGGGGAAAATCTACAGAAATGTAAAATTGAAAAAAAGAGGAGGTTTATTGTTAGTTAGGTTACCGATCGGTTATTTTGGTTAACCTTACTGAATCACTTGCTTAACGGTTATCTAATTAACCGATAAATTAACTGATAACCGAATATATGATTACAGCTAACTAATTTATATAAAAAGATGTAGTTAATAGTAAAGCCCATGATAGGAGAAACAGGAACACTATAAAAAAGCTGTTGGAGGCAGATGGGGAGGTGAAAGAAGGGCAGCAGGCGGTGGGAGAATGCCTCGCTAACCATTTTAAACTGCTTTTCTGTGCAGGTATGGCGACTCCATCGAACAGGATCCTAGAGGCTATCCCTAGACGAGTCACTTAGGAGATGAACGAGGACCTCCTACAACCTTTTATGCAGCAAGAAATTTGGGGAGCCTTAAAGAAAATGGGACCTAACAAAGCCCAAGGAGTGAATGGTATAACAACCTTTTTTTCCAGAAAAACTAGGACATTGTAGGAAGGGAAGTGACGGCTGAGCTGCAGAAGTATCTCACAGAAGGTTCTTTTCCTCAAGCTCTAAATCATACTCTAATTGCTCTGATCTCTAAGAAGAAAGAGTGGAATCTCCAGTGGACTTTAGACCCATAAGCCTGTGTAGAGTTCTCTATAAAATCCTCTCAAAGGTCCTAACAAACCGGCTCAAGAGAGTATTAAATGAGTTAATTTCAGATTTTCAAAGTTCTTATGCACTGTGTCTCTATTGTCTTCTATTCCATCATAGTTAATGGTCATCAAACTGAAACATTTTTTTCCCTCTAGAGGACTCAGATAGGGTGATCCCATTTCACCCTACCTGTTTCTTTTTGTTGTGGAAGGACTCTCAACACTCTTGTCTAGGGGTGGGCAATGGGCGGGTTGGGTGGATTTTGGTCTCAAATTGACCCACCCGCTTACTAGCGTGTTGAAATAATTGTGACCGCAATCAACCCATATACTTCTGCGGGTTGGGTTGGGTGGATGACAGATGGGTGCAGTTGGGTCGCGGGTCAACCCGCAAAAGCAATTCTCTAACTAGCCATTAAGAAAGTTGACTAACATTTATAATAAGTTCATAGAAAAATTAGTAAGACTGTATCAATAATTTGTGATTTTGATACAATTAATACTTTATAGTTTGCATCCCAATATTTAATAATTATTAACAATAATATGCATACCAATATCCAATATTTAATAGATATTGCACAACACAATGACCAATAAAAGTAGTCAAAACTATTATTTATTCTTCACCTTTTGAAGTATATGGTCAGACTGTAGTGCAGTTCAAAAATATGATGAATATTCGATACTATAAGAAACAACGGGTCATATGGGTGACCCGCAATCCAACCACCATTCACCCACATAAGTGCAGGTGGGAGATTTACCAATCCGCAATCCACCCACATCAATCACCCACTACATGCGAGTCGGGTTATTTGCGGGTGAATCGATATCAATCCGCGGATTAACCACCCACATGTCCACCCCCTACTCTTATCTAAAGCGGATAGATACAAGAAGATTGAAGGCATTACAGTTAAGGGTGGAGCTACAGTTATAAACCATTTGTTATTCGCGGATGATAGTATTTTGTTCTCAAAGACCACCAAAGAAGAATGCGAACAGATTAGAGCCATCTTAAACCTCTATGAACAAGAAACGGGATCTCAAGCTCGTGAATATGTCTTTGTTTGCTAGAATCAAATCTCGCAATCAAGCGAGCTCGGTATCGAACGAGTAGTCCCCTCGTTCGTGGTCGAGTTGCTACCCAAACTCAGTCGAGCCTCCTTCCCCATTAGTGTGTTAAAGTTGCTTGCTGAACTCCATCCACACTTGCCCTGCTTATTCGGTTGGGTTGAGTTTTAATTCGAATAATCATCCGTTGCAAGAGAGCTGCGTTCCTATGATCTTTAGAGCAAGCCAAGCTAGCTCTCATCACCAGAATTGACCCACACTCGGGTTGCTGGCGAACAGCTGGGATCGAAGCGGGTCCAGGACATTGATCTTTGCCCGCACCTTGACGAAGTGCACCGAGACTCCCCGCAAAGCAAACAGCCCTGCATCACAGACTTCCCCAAGTTTGGCTTCGGCCATCCTTTTCCAAAAAGCGACAGTGCGATGATATACCCCGCATCTACACCCAAAATGGAGCGCTGCTCAGCGATTCCACCACCACCATGTGGGTGATCGATTCCCAGTTTTGGAGGTGCAAGATCCGATCCTTCACTTGCAATGGTGTCCGATGAAGAACACAGTCTTTGTCTCTCTCATCTTCAAAGAGGAACTGCATGAGTCCCAATTCCGCCTTCATCACCGCCACCTTCGACCAACACTGCCACTCCCCTTGCACAATCTTTTAGATAGTCTGCAGGCTAGGAGGATTGTCCATAAACAATCGCCCAACCAGACTCAGCTTCACCCGCCTCATGCTCTCCTCCACATCAGACAGCTCAAACTCCACCACCTGATCTTGCTCCCGAGATCCAATGTAATCATGACCCTGTTTTCGAAAAGCCTGGAAATGCTCTGATCGCCGTCGATTTTCGGACTCCTTCATCTGGCTCCAACAATTCACACTTGACACGAATATGGTCGTCGTAATGAATTCGGGAGCCGGAGATTAAATACACCCATTTTGGAGCAAGCCTGTGAACCATCTAGGCACAAGACTTCTCCCCAACCTTTATCTCTTCCCGATTTTTTAAGAAGAAATCCCCACAACGAATCTGGGTATATCCCCACATCTTTCCTTTTCGATGGGATAATTCCAGAAAACGATTTTCTCGTCGATCGTCAGATCCAATCCCCAATTTCCAGATCCAATTCAAAATCTGTCCCTCGTTATCATTTTGTAAACTACAATGAATCCATTAAAATACTACACAATTAAAAGTAGGGAAAATAAAGATTATTTTAGCTTCATCCCTTAGATCTAGCGAAACTCAACCAAGCACAAATGGATAACGGAGCATTATGCAAGCTTTCCCCCACACCGTTTCCATCATAGGCCAAATCATATTCCAGATAGAAAAGCGTAAAGTAGGACTATTATAGACTTGGAACACAATTGGAGTTCTTATTCATTGTGGTACCAAACTGCTCTCCATTGATAAATAAGGAAAGGACAACAAAAGGACAGCACACACTGCATTTTATGGGGAAAAACAGTACTAGAAAGTCTTATTTCAGAAGGGGTGAGAGAAGGATAACTTAAGAGCTCCAACTCACTCGCTGAGCCAGTGTTTCTGCAGCAGTAGAATCTCTTTCATATTGCCGCAAATAGTACAAAAGACAACTATAGAAAAATAAAGAGAGGAAAACGAGTAGTAGGGTTAGCTGCCTTGGCCTTCACCTCCAAGCTTGTTTTAACCAGTGTTCTGCAGGCCAGCAGCAATACCCTTCATGGTCAAAATGAGGGTGTCTTCCAGGCCAGGAGCATACTCGCTCGTAGGGTTGAGCTTCACCAGCTCAGCTGCAGGCTTGGTAGCATCATCGTATTCCTTGGACAGGTGTGGCCTTATGGTGACATGGTAGTCAGGGTCCCGAATGCGCTTCAGAGTGCATGCTTGGGAGACATTGAGAGTCGTGATGTATGCATCACGCAGACGAAGCCTCTGCTTTAGGTAAGGATCTCCTTCCAGCAGGTCTTTGTGGCCAGCAATCTGCACAAGTAGAAAAGGCAAAAGCACCACCGTTGAGGAAAAGATGCATAAACAAATACTTGAGTATATGAATTTTAGTTGTTAGTTCGTACCTGGAGGAGGAAATCCTTAGTTTCAAGATACTTAGCTCTCAACTGATCACCAAATGGACGCAATTCAGGAGACACAAGGAGCCTGTCATACAAAGCAGCAATCTCTGGGTCACCCTTGGCAAAAACCATTTCGACCAAGTCAATTGTGACTCGGAAGAACGGCCACTGATTGTACATCGCCTGGAGCATGTGGAGGTTCTTGATATCCTTGGTAATAACCTGCTTGAAAGCATCGCCAAAGCCAAGCCACACAGGCAAGTGAAACCTCGTCTGAGTCCAGGCAAAAATCCATGGGATTGCACGAAGTGATTCGATTCCTCCACTTGGCTTCCTCTTTGATGGCCGACTTCCAATGTTCATACGACCGTACTCCAACTCTGGTGTTGCCTGCCAGAATTTCAATTCCATGGATTAGGAATAAGGTTGACATAGAATAGAGCATCAAAAGCTTGCAAATTTTAGTATTTTTAAGCTAGATCAATGCTCAGAAGACTTACAAGGCGGAAATATTCAACAAAACGAGGCTCCTGGAAGACAACGGAGCGATACTCCTTAGTGGCAGTAACAGCCATTTCGTCCATTAGAGCACGCCATTCCGGTTTCGGCGACACAGGTGGGTGCATCCCATGCTCCAGTGTGGCAGCTATAAAACGTTGGAGTGTCCTGAAACACAAGTGTTCCTCCCCAAAGGACTGCTCAATGACCTCACCCTGAACAGTGACACGGAGCGACCCATGAATGGTGTCCGGTGGTTGAGACAATATGGCAAGATGGGTTGGACCTCCTCCTCTTCCAACTGTCCCACCTCGGCCGTGGAACATAGTAAGCTTCACACCATATTGCTTTGATACCTTCACAAGCTCTTCTTGAGCCTTGTACATTTGCCAAGCAGCAGAGAGACGCCCGGCATCCTTCCCCGAGTCCGAGTACCCAATCATGACTTCTTGCTTCCCATTGATCCGGTCCTTGTACCAGTCAATAGAGAAGAGACGAGCCACAGCAGCAGGTGCAGCTTCGAGATCAGCAAGTTTTTCAAACAGAGGAACAACCCTCAATGGTTGCTTCACATGGCACTCTCGTTGCAAGAGCTCAACAGCGAGCACATCAGACGGAGATGTGGCCATTGAGATAATGTATGCACCGAAATTGTCAGAAGGAAGTTCAGCAATGACGTGTAGGGTGTCCAGCACGTCAGCAATTTCTTCAGTTTTGGGAAGATCAGGACCGAATAGAGGGCGCTTGCCACGGAGTTCAGAGAGGAGCCATTCTTGCCTTTTTTCTTCAGACCACTCACGGTAAGACCCAATTCCCAAGTGGTTTGTGATGGCATCAAGCACATCTGTGTGTCTGTCAGATTCCTGCCGGATGTCTAGCCTTACTATTGAGAGTCCGAAAGTAGAAACTTGGCGTAAGAAATCTAGCAGGCTTCCATCTGCAATGGGCCGATCGCCACAAGCGCATAGTGACCTGTAGCAGAGTTCAAGAGGCTCCAGGAACTGTTTCAAAAAGAAAGACAATACAAGTTAGTGAGAATCCAGCAAGCTAACAACCTCAAGTTTGTTTTTACATTTCTGTTATGAATGTTTAAAATTCTAAACGCCAAGTGGTCATTGTTCTGAAAGCACTTTTCGATCAGGAAACTGAAAATCACCAAAAGAACTCCTTTCTAGCTTCTAAGACAACTAGTGGTACTATAAATGATACCAACATTGAGGTCAGCTATAAGTAGATGAATCGAGCATGAAGTTATAAGTTCTACTCACAAACACTTTTGCAAGACTGACCCCTAAACAGGCAACTAAATATACTAAGATAAGTAAAGCCAACCATTGGACAAGCAACCAATAAATATTGAAAGAAACACGAGTTTTTTTTTTTTTTTTTTTAATAAACACTTGTTAGGCATATAGCATAGATGGGTAAATTACATGACAGACAGTAGCAAGAAATTCTGACAAGAGATAGAATTTTTACTATGTTAAGAAAACAGAATATACTCTGATAGGAAAATGACCCTACCTGCTCAACATTGGTGAAAGTCGATTCCTCGGGAATATCGGACATTCCACTTGCTAGTAATTGCCGAGAACGTTCCCGTGTATTATACAGCTTGTCCCTCACGTCACCGAGAATAACCCTGTAGGGCTCATTCGGATGGATCTGTTTCCAGAATTCTGTGCATTTGTAGAGTGAAAGGAAGTCAAGTGTTGAAAAAATAAAAAGTTTGCATTACGTATATCGAGATTCATTCTCCATTTTGTTGAATAAGAAGCCAATAACTTCAAGAAACGCCAACAAGGCCTCACAAATATAGAATCATCAGGCAATTCTAACCATAAGATAGTAGAATGGTATAAATGGGGAATTTTCTGAAGGCGTGTGTAGAAGCAAGTTATGGTATATATACTATACCATTGATTTCTCAAAATTGACTTCAAATAATTCATTACAAAGAACCTGGGAGTGAAAGCTGATGTATGTGATACAAACCTATGAAGTGTTTAGCATCTCTCCTTGAATTCAAATGAAGTCCCTCTGCACGAACGCGAAGCTCTTCATTGCAGCGCCACATGGACAACTGCAGATAAATTAAGACTTTATTGCTAAGCTGAATGGTAAAGTAAAAAGAATAATCTCCAAGTCGCACCCAAAAAAAAAAGGTTTTTTTTATACCTCAAACATGAGATCCTCAATTTGTGAGAAATACAAATTAGCAGCCATCATTCTAGCCAGTAAGCACACATCCCTTGTAACTTCAGGAGTCACACGTGGATTTCCTGCAATTCATGACAAATATATAATTGGAAGCCAGTTACCATAAATGGCTCTTCAATACACTTCTGTAGACTGCTTAGTAACTTGACACTCAAACTATACACAAACAAGAAATTACAGTAGCTATTTCAACATTGAACTAGATAACTCACCATCACGGTCACCGCCCATCCAAGATGAGAATTGAATGAGAGGGGCATTGTAGGGAACCCGTTCATTTATCCCTAGGTTCTTCAAAGCAGTGTCAATACGGCGCAAGAATTTAGGGACACCTTTCCAGATTGTCTCATGGAAGTAGCTCATTCCTGCTCTCATCTCATCTTGTGGAGTAGGAGGAGTCCTTCTAATCTCATCAGTCCGGAAAGCAGCTTGGATCTAAATACATGACAAAATAGATTAATACCTTGCTGAAAATATCATCGCTGCGAAGATGCATAACCTAATCCTGGCAAAGTAAATGTTGAAATGGAACATGAACTTTACTATTAAGCAATTATGCACTCCATTAACCAACGTGACAAGGGAAGCTTAGAGTAACGGGATTCCAATATGCATACCTCTCTCTGTAGGGCTTCATCAAGCTCCTGCTTGTCATCGGGAGTAATGTCTTTGGCATACAACTGAGTCAAGCAGTTACGAATCCTAAAAAGAGCAAAAAGGAATATCAATTTACTTGAAAGCAGAAGCAAACTATACAAGCATTATAATAATGATATGGCCATATACATCCTCAAAAATCTTTTAAAGTTTAAGTGTTTTTCCCAATGAAGACTTTTACAAACCTTCCATGCTTCTGAAGCAAAGACCTACGGACAGATTGAGTAGGATGAGCAGTCAAGACCAAATCCACAGTTTGGTTCTTCAAAGCATCGAAAACTTCTTCAGGGGACTTCTTGAGCTGCACGATCAGCCTCTTGAGAGTCTCCTCAATGTCTGATTCAGTGGTTGCTGAGTTCTCATCAGCAAAGTCTCCCTTCTTCAACTTGATTCTTCTTCGGTGCGCGATTTGGACTTCCTCAGCCAAGTTGGCCAGGGTAAGCATGTTGGAGAATGCTTTGGTAACAACGATTGAATCCCCAGGATCCAAACTCGTCACCATCTTCCCAAGCTCTTCCAATTTGGTGGAATCACGCTCCCTCATGTATTCAGCAGAGAGCTCATAACAGTCTTGGACCTGCGCCCATTAGCAGTATTAAATTTGTATTCGATCGATTAACAAAAGAAGAAGAAATCATTGGCAGGCAGTTCCACACTAAAATTTCAGAAAGGAAATTGCCATTCAAACAGACCCGTCGCCATTGTCCACATTAAAGATGGAGACTTTCCAACGGTAGTTAACCGCTATAACGAATTACAGAGGTACCCAATAGAGCAGATCACAGAAGCAGGAGACATGAATATTTAAAAGAGAAGGGAAACAAAAAAAGAGTACCGTTTCCCTGATGTCCTCGCCGTGCAAATCCTGGAGGATATCGAGAAATCGATCAAGCAAGAGAGCGTCGTACTCGACAAGCTTGTCATCCTCAGAGACCTTCCTGGGAGCCAACAGCCTCAACTGAGCGTCAATGGAGGTGGTCTTCTCCAGATTCCGGGTTGGCAACGGGGCTGCCATCTCTGGTTTCGTTGTTCCAACCTTCCGGGGGAACAAAAAGCCAACCGAACTCTTCTATGCTCTCCTCTGTCTCTGTGGTTCTCTTCTGCTTTTCCGACGCTCTAGGGAAATCCGATCTACAGAGGGGAAAAAGAGGCAATTGGGTTCCGAGTCAAACTGGGTAATCGAAAAAATCGAAACAAAAGGAACCCATACATATATCAACAACAACAAACAAAAGACGGAGAATGCAGCTGAATCTCGTGATAATCACCACCAAAAAGAGAGAGGGAGTTCACAAGGTGGGGGGAAAAAAACAGAGCAGAGCAGCTGGGATTGGTATCGGGAAAGATCTGGAATGGGGACAAAACCACGGGAAAGCCGGGGAGTGGTGGAGTTTTGGAGAGAGAGATGGAATTGCGGTGGTGGTGAGAGTGAAGTGGGCAGAGAGTTAAACGGAAGCCAAAAACAGACCGGCAGATTTGCTTGATAAGGAGAGGAAGAAGGGGAGGGAGGGACTCACGGGAGAGTTTTTCTCTGGACCTCTTCCGATCTGTTTTGTTCAGTGTACGAGACTGAGTGGATCTGTATCACTCGCTTCTCGTCCGTATCTGCCCTTATTATTGCATCTACTTCTCATCCATTTATATTACTTTCTTTGCCCAATTGACAAACGCCTCTTTCTTAATTTTCTTTTGGTTTTTTTTTTTTTTTCTCTCTTCTGGTTTCTTTGGGGAATATACTAATACATAATAGTAGTCCCTTAATTGTTCATGATTTCTTTTAAAAATTTGGTTTTCAAGGCGTACCCACTGACTTTTATGAGATTCATTCAATGATTTTTTTTATGTAGATATGTGTTGGTTTGGCTAGTTGCGATTGTTAATGAATTTATGTATGATATTATACAAGATTGAAAAAAGCACTAGGTGCGAGGTAGTTTTTAGGTCTTGGCTAACACTTAGGATGTCTAGATGTTTTAAGCTATTCCAACAATTTCACTTACGACAACGGTGAAGAGTAAGGAGAATGCTCGGACAAATAGTTTTTTAACTTTTTTTATTTTACCTGCATTTACAATTTTTTTGCACAAATAATTTTTTATCTTCTTTGTTTTAACTTAACAATATTAATCACTGCGAAATTTTTTTTGTCATTCAAGCATTTCAATTTTTTTAGGGAATAATCATCTCAATTCTCAAATTAATTATACCATACTATTCGTGTCCGTAGTTACTTTTCAAATGATGGTATTAGTTGTGTATTTAAAAAAATACGTTATCAATTATTCTTTTGATATGGTATCAATTTTACTATTTTAGAGGAGAAACAGAAAGTAAATACAAAACCAGAAAATAACTTACGGGCCAAGAACTACTTAGGAAGGAGAAGGTCAACCCTTGCCGGTTCTTTGTTGCCTGCATTACGCCATTCTACACGCCTGAATCTGGGCGGGCGATGCGTTTTCTTTTATTTTTTGGCTGGCGTGATTGATTCTCGCATCAGTCCTCGTCTCACTTATTTTCCTCCTCCCTTTTTCTTTCAATTTAATAATACTAATAATAGTAAGTATTAAATAGAAGTAGTGATGTGATTGTTCATCAAATTCCATTCCAGTTCAAGGGCTGAATACATATACGCTTCTCAGTATCTACCTGGAGAGGAATATGCCCTCTCCAATGAGCATATCTCCGGTTTTGGCATGCTCACTAGTTTCCAACAGAATCGTATCGGAGGATGAACTAGTGTAACGAGAAATGCAAATTTTAATGAGTCGATCGATATTAAATCGCTAAAAATCGTTAATGAGCCGGTACATTATACATGGCAAGATTGCTAAGTTCCAATGGGAGGAGGGCATTCGCGGTGTGAGGAGATCAGAAAACATACCACAACTTACAAGTTTTCCATTTTTTTCAGTTGAGAAAATTGGGCCGGTTGTCCGATTTGCTTATTTGAGCGGTCACCCTTTCAGACCAGTGTTTGGCCAGTCGACTCTTCAATGGGGAACCTAATTACCATCCAAGCCAAAATCGCGAGCGGTTGCCGGTTTTATTGGTCGGACCGATTGGTTCTACTCAATTTTAACAACATTGCTAGGTTCCAACGTTTTCATAACTATACCGGAGTATGATTCGATGTAGCTAATAGTTCATACTTTACATTTTTTATCGGTACTAAACCGTTAAAAAAATCATTAATGAACGATGACTCATAAACATAATAATATATAAAATTTAAAATAAAATACTTTAAAATTTTAGGTAAAATACACTTGTGTAGACAAATTTTTGACGGTTTGGCCGAATATAGCCACGTTTGGCGAAATACTAAAAATAGTCACTTCTATCCAATTGTTTGACGCTGTCAACTAATAGAGTGACTGGACTAACGGAAAGTATGACATGGCTACATTTCGTTAGTTACATTGCCACATGGACAAATGAAAAAATAAATAAAAATTAATGGATTTTTTAGTCCCTTCCTTTCCCTCTCCTCTCCCGATCATCTCCTCCCTGAAGCAATCCTTCTGCCTCCATCTTCAAAGACTCCGCCACACACCATCTTGCCACCACCCTCTTCCACTGCACTCCACAGTCCCCATCCCCCTCCCGCACCTCGGTGGAAATTGTCTCAGGGTTGATTGCGACCAGCATAGCTCTGCTCCACCTATTGTTATGCTTCTTCTACTTCTTCTCCTTCATCTTCGTAGAGACTGGTAGCTTCTCGATGATTGGTAGCTTCTCTCGATGTCGGATCTGGTCGTTCAAGAATAGCTCTCGGTCGAGCTCATGAAACCCATAATCGTTGAAGATGCGCTGGCGGAAGGTGATGCACTTAGCCTGCCTGATTCATCTCAAAACCCAGAATTTTTTTTTTTTTTTTTTACAAAACCCAGAAAATCATGTCCACAAATTAGATTCATGCCAAAACCTTTCATTGTTCCCCCCAAATCATTCCCTACAAGCTGCGCAAATTTCACACACAACTAAAGCTTCTCCCTTTCTTGACCAATCATGAGCTTCTTCCTCACCAATCCCACCATAATCGAAACCAGCAGCTGCCGCCCCCTTGCCCTTCCAATCCCATCCAAAACCCTAGATTTGCGAAGACAACAGAGAGGTAAGGGTGCAAGAGTTTTTTTATAGTGAGGACAGAGGAGATGCGAGAAGCCGAAATGCAAGGGTGCCAATGTTGACGAGGGCGTCGGAGATGCTAGAGGATGGCGGTAGTTGTTGGAGGCCTGATGCCTTGAAAAGAATGATTTCAAATATCTGGGTTTTTTAGTTTTTTGTTTTCTTAGCTGCAGGAGAAAGAAGAAATCGAAGGACGAGGAGAGTAGCAGATGGGAGAAGAAGAGGGGTATTGGAAGCAAATTAATGGTGATTGTTTGATTGACAATGGGAGGAGGGGCGGTGGGTTGCTGGAGGAGAAAGAAGAGGGTTCGATGAGATTAAGGATAGCAGGGATTTTTTTTATTTTTTATATTTTTGTAAATGACGGTTCGTCCACCTGTTAGTGAATGCTGAGGTGGAAACGAAAGAGAGGGTGAGTTGGAAGTCAAGTCAGCGTTCCGTTAATTTGACTAACGGTGTCACTGACGCCGTTAAATTATGTAATCGAAATTATTATTATTGTTATCAAACTTTCAAAATTCTGGCTATTATTGGTATTTTCCCAAAAGTGACTATTATTGTCACAAATGCCAAAATTTTGGCTACACAGATGAATTTTGCTTTAATTTTAAACAAAAATTTAAACATGAGAATTAAAGTAATATCAAACTCCAAATATTATTGTTGAAAACAAATAATTTGGGAAAAGAGCTAATTTCAAATAAAAAAGGAAATAAGCTAATTAAATATGATTAGGAGTATATTTCATTCTCCTACTCTCTCTCCTACCATCAAATTAGGGCTAGGGTTACCATTCCCCTAATTCTCATATGTAGGAGGTTGAGGTGCCTCCGGTTTTGCAAAACTAAAACGACAACAAAGAAACGTGTGGAAAAGTGAACCTATAAAATGTTGGATGAGCGAGAGAGCAGAGAAGGACATAATTGCATAGACAATCTCCCCCCTAAGTCTCCTAGTCACATATCCCTAGATATCCGGCAACATACGAGCTGTCGATTTCATATTTTTGTTAGATCTCACCTTGTGTTGGAGCATTTACTCGAACTAATGGGCGACAAGGACACTTCGGGTTTCGTCATTGAGGCATCACGTTGTTCGATCGAATGAGGATTGATCGAATAGGACCGCCATGTTTGGTCTAATCCTACACAACTGAGATTTTGATCCTTGCACTTCAAAGGAGTGCAAGGTTGACTAAGCATTCATTCAAATGGACAAATAACAAAATAGAAAAAATTACATCAACAAATATAAATACAACAATCGTATTTAGCCAAACATCGAGCTTCACATGACTAGAACCCCTATGGTTCGCATACCTACGCAATTAAAGGAACTAGCCAACTATGGTGAAGGATTTTTGGGAGTCGATCAAAATGAAGTTCTTAGAAAACCACTGAAATTAACCCACAATAGAGAAATAAGGACCTGTGCTGCCATTTCTTGTGCCAATTCCTCCCTCTCGGTTAGCTTCGCTCTAGGTTACGTGAGTCACTTTGCCAGCAAAGTAACAACCCTTCCTTGACCTCTCGTCTCCTTTGACTGATTCCTAGCTCTATAGGTCTATTTATATGGCTTTGATTAGGCTTTCTAAGGAGAGAAACTCGTAGCTACTACATCATCTGAGCAATCAAAAAGCACCAAACTTGTGGCGAACGAATCATGAAGCTCCCAAGTAACTTTCCGATGAAGTAGAGGTGAGACGTCAAAATGGTAGCTTCAGTGTCGTTTCCGATGTGAATTAACTAATAATACATGCATTGAGAGCTGAACATGATAAAAAAAAGTAAGCATTACTGGGGGGAATCATAGAGTTAGAGGCAATATTGGGTGTGCTTTTTGTCTCTTCAAATTCTATCAACATTTACACAAATTATATAACTCATGTCCTAAGTAAATTGACATAGTGGAAGGAAGAACCTATGCTCCGACAATTTTAGAAGCGAGCGATTAGCAACGAACACTGGTGAGGAAATTGATAAAAGCGAGTGACACGTTGATGCAGGTCCAAATGTATAGATTTTACCCCTCATTTCTTGTCCGTTATGCTTAGTAAATCACCGTCCCTCGACCTATTTTACACTAGATTGTGTTTATTCTGTTACATTTCAGTTCCTAACACGTGTGGGAAGGTCCGGGACGAGTTTCGAGTCATTCAGAGGTCAAAACGAGCAAAAAAGTGGAGACCGAGCCCTGTTCATGGGTTGGAGCTTCAGTTCAAGGTCTTAGAAGACCAAACCGTGAAGTGGCCAATTTCCATAATGGTTCTAGAGGTTAATAGCAAGAGGTCAGTTCATGGTTTCACGGTCTCTAAGACCGTGAACTGAAAGCCCAAACCATGAAGTCGTCAGTTCACTGTCTCTAAGACCATGAACTGATCAACGCGTCCTTGAACTAAGGTCTAAGACTGTGAACTGATCAACGAGGCTATG